GCCTCATAATCCTCAGCATGGCGCTGGATGCCGCAGCGAACCTGAGTCAGCTCCTCCTCAGCCCGCAGGAGCTGCCCGTTCAGGTGTTCCATCTGAAGGGCGTAGCGCTGCTCCACATCCTGCAGGTTTGCCTCCAGGCTGGCTTTCTGCAAGTGGAGGAGAGGTCAGTGCCACGCCTCTGTGGGCACCAGCCACACCTCTTGGGAGGATGCCATGCCCCAGAGGCACTAGCTCCTCCCCTTTGGGGGGCAGTATCGGACAAGGGGAAGCTAGGTAGTGGCCTCCTTGAGGGTGAGGGGATCCCCTTTCCCTCTAACCAAACTACCCGTCTGAGTTCTGGGGTCAGACAGAGAAAGACCTCTCCTTGTGCTGGGCGGGGGAGAGGCAATGGAGAACCCAGGCGTAGGGCTGCGGGAGGAGTGCGACAGGGAGAACCTGACCATGGTGCTGAGGGAGAGTCTAGCTGCAATGCTGGTGGGGGAGCAGGAGAATCCCGGGGAGCATACCAGATTGCGCAGGGACTCCAATTCAATCTCCAGCGTCTGGACGTTGCGGCGTAGCTCGGAGATACTGCTGCGGGCCACCTCGATCTCCTTTGTGTTCTGGGTGATCTCCACAGTGCTCTCGGTGATCTGGGGGGACAGGCCAAGTCGGTTACTTTGGGGTGGAAGCCAGCCTGAGCCAGACCTCCTGGACCCTGGCACACCTGGGCGAGATATAACTCCAGAAGCCCTGTCTCCATCACAGGCCAGACCGGAGCCCCAAATCAGAACCACCCCTAGTTCTGGGCTCATCCTGAATGTACCACCACACTGAAGGGTAGGATGTGCCCAAAGGGGTCCCCTTAGGTGGCCTGGTTTTTGAGGAGGGCAGGAAGTGGAGGATCCCTCCAGGGACAAGGCATGGCAGCACCAATACCCAGCTCACCATCTGGCTCCATTGCTTGTCCAGGTCCTCCATGTTCTTCTGTGCCAGGTTGTCGTACTGAGCACGGATCTCCGCCATGACCTTCCCCAGGTCCTGAGAGCGTGTGGCATCCACTTCCACCGTCAGCCCCGAGCTGGCAATTTGGGCCTGCAGGCTTTCTACCTCCTGTGGGGACATGCACAGCCCAGTGAGGTCGTTTGCCCTTTTGGGGGAAGAGACCTCCCTACCTCCCACCTGCCACCCCTAGGCTGCCTGTGGCCAGTGGTTAGCCTGGCTGAGCCACACAATGCAGTCCTGCCCGTGGGCACTGCCGCCTCTTAGCTTACGTCCTGGTGGTTCTTCTTCATGAAGATCAGCTCCTCCTTGAGGGACTCGATCTCGCCCTCCAGCTGCAGCCGGGCCATGTTGGTGTCGTCAATCACTTTCCGCAGCCCACTGATGTCGCTCTCCACCGACTGGCGGATGGCCAGCTCAGACTCAAACCTGCAGGTGAGCAAGACTCAGTGTTTGGGGACAGAACTCCTGGTCAGCAGGAGAGCATGGGGGTGAGGAGCGTGCATTTGAGGGCCAGAGCCTCTCCCCATGTGTGGGGTCAGGGTGTATTTGGGTGGCCAATCCCCACCCCAATAAAGGGGTAGTGGAGGTGCATTTAGAGGGGGAAAACTCCCTCTCCCATACGTGAGGGTAAAATGGGTTTGTGTGTTTGGAGGGCAGTCTGGGTGCCTGACCCCTCCACCTTCAGGGGTGCAATCAGCACAGCAGAGGTGCTGCACCCCTCCCATATACCCTGGGGAGGGCTGGGTCATGACCCTCCCCCACAGCTTTCCACCTGCCAGGACAAAGGGAGTCAGGGTGAAGGCTGGGAACCAGCCCAGTGACTGGATGTCTGCTTGGTGGGACGCTCACTTGACCCGGAAGTCATCAGCAGCCAGGCGGGCATTGTCGATCTGTAAGACAATGCGGGCATTGTCTACAGCACTGGCCAAGATCTGGGAAAGAGAAAGACACAGGGAGGGGGGGATCAGTAGGTGCAGAGAGTAGCCCTGGGGCTGGCTGGGTGTAGGGTCTGGTATGCACAAAGGGCTTGAGTTCTGAGCTTGCATGCCCCCAGGACGGCAGCAGGGACCCACCTCCCTGGCCATGTCCCCTGAGAGCCAGAGGGCTAACTCCCCTCCCTTCTTCGCCCAGGCTCTGATCTCCTGTGCCAACCCCTGCCGGGAACCTGTAACCTGAAGCTGCTGGACTCCTGCCAACCCCTGCATTGTTTGTCTAGCTCGGCTCAGGTGCAAGGCAGGTGCAGTTTGCACAGCAACGGGAAGATGAAAGTGCTTAAAGAGACATCACCCAGTCTATTTCCAGGTGCTCGACATCCAGAGATGAGCCCTAAAAATGGGACTAACCCCCAAATTGCTACTGGTGATGAGCTCAAGCGAGCCAGGGTGCCTGGCTTCTGTTCACTGGTAGGATCATCTGTAGGACCCAAGTGTTCTGGCTCCCATTCCCAGCTCTGTCACTGGGTGACTTTGGGTGGCAGTTAGGCCCAAAGTGGTCTAAAATTTGGGTACCCCAGTTCTGCAGAGCCCAACTGGAGACTGAGTGAACAACACAGGCCACTTTGTTGTTTGTGGCTGGCTTTCCATGCAGGCTCAGCGCCGATGACGCCCCTAAATAACAGACAGTTTTACAGGCCTGCCCCCCAAGTGCCGAACTCTTGCTGAAAATCCAGCACATCAGAAATCTGTGAGATCCCTGCCTCACAAAGGAGGAAACTGAGGCACTGGGTGGTGGTGCAACTTGCCCACAGTGCCAGTAGGAGAGCCAGGAATACAGCCCACCTTTTCAGTCCAGTGCTCTGCCCACTGAGCCATGCAGCCTTCGCTCAAGGGCCCCTTTCTATCAGCCTCCACCCCAAGGGTTGCAGGGCTGTAGGTCATTGGCCAATGAACTCACACCACTAGCCAGCACACTGATACTTGTACATAAATCAGTGGGTAAACCCAGCCTCTCTCTTTGAACTTCCAGCAGGACAGGTGTGGAAAGGTGTTTAGTCCAATGCTTAGAGCAGGTTGGGGCTGGGAATCCAGACTTCTGGGCTCTGTTCGCAGGCGTGGAGAGGAGCTAGTGGGTAGAGTAGGAGCTGGGAGCCAGGACTCAAGGGTTCTTTTCCCACCCTGGGAGCAGAGAGATTTGCTGTGGATCACAGGGTGGTCGGTCATGCCTTCCCTACCCCCTTGGGAGCCAGTAGCATTTTTTTCAGATGGGGATTGGCACTTTCCCTCCCTCTCTCTGTCTCCCTCCCTTTGCACCTTTTCCTCTTCTTTTTTAGAGGGGACGCTGCCACCCTGAACTCCTGTTCCCACCACACCTTTGCAAATGGCCTCATTATGTCTTTGTTCTGTTTGCCAAGGGTGACTCAGCCCAGCGAACAAACAGCTGCTTTCCCCCCATCCCTGGTCCCTCCCCACCCTGCATCTGGCCCCTCGGGTTACTCTGGGAAAGGGTTTTCATTCAATGCACAGTGCTCTGAACAAAGAGACAAATGTCCCTGAGATCACTGGAGGGAGGGGCTGGTTCCGGAAACATGCACACACAAAAAGTTAAGGAGACTAACCCAGCCCTAACAGCAGCAGTGTGGCCTAGTGGATAGAGCACTGAACTGAGACCTGGGTTCTGTCCCTCGCTCTGCCACGGAGCTTGGGCAAGTTGTGTTGCTTCCTATGCCTCAGTTTCCCCTCTGTTTTAGATGGTGTCTGTGCAGTGCCCAGCACAACGGGGCCATGACCAGAACAATCATTTGCTTTGAGGGAGGTGCCGAGATCCGCTCAGCCCCCCCCCTTGGGTGGGGAGGGGCGGGATTAAGGCCTTGGTGCCTTCAAAGGGCTGTAGCTAGGGGAGCCATGGCAAAGTGGGATTCTGCCTTGCCACACCCGAGGCACATGGCCTACTGGTTACAGCTCCTCTGTGCTGTGCTGTGCTGAAGGTCAGGCTGCTGTGCCGGGGAGGTTAATGAGTAACTCTTTTGCAATGCCACGATGGAGCTGGCTCCAGACTGCCACCAACTGCCTGCCTCCTCTGGGCCTCATGCTGGCTGAGTTCACCAGCATACCCCCCTCCCCAGCCCACTTGGTCCATGGGGTATTTCGGGAAAGACCAATGAAGCAGAAAGGGGCTTCTGGGTAGGATTCCTGGGTATTTAAGGAGCAAGTGCTGGGCTCCCCCTCCTGCTCCCCCCCCTTAATGGGCATTGTGCCAGGTGGGTGCTTTCGCTTGTTGACTGCGGCTTGCTTTGTGCGGGTGCAGAGAAACTCCCCAGCTGTCCCACATCCCAGTCAAAGCTGCCCGTTGCCTCCCGGAGCGTGGGGTTTCAGTTTTCCACCTGGGGGCATACAGGGGCCTGGATTGGGCCCCTCAGCCCCAGCCTAGTTGGGTGTGACATGCGCAGATGCTGCATCGAGCTAGCTGCAGAGGGACCTGGGGGGGGGGGGGGGGCCGGGGGGGGGGGGGGGAGTCCAGGTGGGAGGGCTGCTCATGGGAGGAGGTGAGGGGCAGTCACTCCCCTTGCAACACATCCCAAAAGGGGCAGGCTTGTTCCGAGGCTTTCCCTAGCAAATCCATGCTGCCCCCTGCCTCTTGAGGGTGTATGTGTGGGGGGGGAGGGTGTGCAGAGAGCTGGGATGCCCACAGGTGCAAGACCCCTTGGGTTCCTCATAGTGTGTGTGTGGGTCTTGTATGTGCTAGGCAGGGCAGGAACGAGCACCTCACCTGGTTCCTCAGGTCTTCTATGACCTCAAAGTAGTGGCTCCAGTCCCTGGCCTGGGGACCCTTCTTCTCCATGAACTCCCGGATCTGAGTCTCCAGCTGGTGGTTGGCAGCCTCCAGGCTGCGCACCCTGTCCAGGTAGGCAGCCAGGCGGTCGTTCAGGTCCTGCATGGTTTCCTTTTCATTCTGCACCACCCCAGAGCCGGACAGGGACAGGCTGTAACTCCCTCCGGAGATGCTGCCTGGGAAGCTGGAGCCTAGGCTGGTGGTTCTAGCCATGGAGATCCTGGAGCCAGAGCCCCCTGCCCCGGCATAGACGCTGGCAGCGCTGGTGGGTGTCATGGGCCTCCTGCCCACAAAGCTCGGAGCCCTGTAGCTGGATCTGTGGAAACTCATGGTGCTACCAGCAGGTGGGGACGGCCAGAGAGTAGAGTTTGCAGCAGCAGCTCAGTCAGTCAGTGCAGGGCTGGACTGGCTGCAGATGGAATTTGTAGCCAGGACCAGAGGAGGGGCCAGGGAGGGCCGAGCCACTCCCACCAAGGCTCCACAGCGTTGGCTCCCAGCTCCAGGAAGGTGTGGCTCCGCTGAGGCCTGCTCCTGGCCTTTGTTCGCACAGCCAGCTCACCTGAGTTCCTGCAGTGGAACCAGATACAGGCCTGGAGCCACCCACGCCTGTTCTGTGGCTGGCAGAGTTAACGGAGGGAAGTGTCCAGCCACGGGGGAGCTGCCATCGGGCTGGGCCGAACAAGAAAAAATCTAAGAGTGGCCAGGTGTCGGAGCAGTGCAAAGATGAATCGGGCACAGAGATGCCTGTTGCTGACCCCGGGAGCTGCTCTGGCCGTCGGCCTGCAAGTCAGCCCTGGTAGCTCCCCAGCGGGGTTTCAGAGCCATTTGCAACCTCTCCTGCCTTCTGTCATCAGCGCATCCAGTGTTTGCCCAGAACATGCCACAAGCCCCTTTCTGGCAGCCACAGTACTGACAAATGTTTTGCCAGGGTTTCCCAACAGCCTCGGAGGTGGGGGAGGGGGCAATCTGCTGGGGCTGCGCAGAGCGCCAAATTTGGAAGGTGCAAAGACAAAGGGAGCATAACAACCCCCATCAGAGTGGGGCATAGGGGTTACAGGTGACAGTGTGTGTCAGCCGAGAGCAGGCAGCAATCACTCTCTAGCCGGTGTCTGTGCTCGCTTAGCTGGGATCTCTGCATGCTGACCTGGCATGCAAACGTGGTCCTCTCTTCATGCTAACTGGCATGTAAACATGGTCCTCCCTGCATGCTGACCTGCAAGATGGATATTTAGATCCAAAAAATGCACCCACTTTATGATACTCCTCCCAGCTGGAAGAGAGTCCTGACTTTTAATTGCAATCTGCTTTAACTGCTGACCACCACTCTTCCCAGAGCTGAGAAATCCAAGAATCTTGAGGTCCACTTCCTCCCTATGCTGCAACCACTAGATTCTCCTAGCTGAGCTGCGGGTGGAACCCAGGAATCCTGGCCCCCAGCTCTAACCATTATACCCTGTTTCTGGCCAAAGCCACATCTACAAGCCAGGAATCCAACCTCACTAGCTCACCTCTCCCCCACCTCCGCGCTCTAACCACTAGACACCACTGCCATTTCAGAGCTGGTAGCTGAGCTGAGCCTGCCAGCTGATTCAATCTGTCTGTCCAGCCTAGCCTAGCCCAGTGGAGAGAGGGGTGATCAGCCCAGACCCTGAGATCTGCTGCCTCCTGTGATCAAAGCAGGAGACTTGTGCACACACAACAATGTGATCCCGCTAGCCTGCAAATAAAGCAACAAAGATCTCCATGTAATAGCAGAGGGAGAGAACTTTTATCCTTCATAGCCCTGCTGCATTCCTGGCTTATCACAGCAAGGGCGAGGCACAGCCACACATCCGTGCTGTAGCCCTACATCTCCTGCAGGGCAGGCCATTCCCTCTCCTCTCCAAACCACTATCACCATTAGGTTGTCTGCGTTAGCCAGAACCGAGCCCATGTGCCTGCCCACACATGGCTCTACTTGTGGACAGCTGGGATTTGGCAAGTGGAATCCAGACTCACTTCTGCATGTCACAGATCTTTTGCCCTGTAGTTGGGATGAACTGAAACCCAGGAAACCCAGCCCAGACCCCCCCACAGTAGTTCGGGGGCATGTCCGCTCATCCAGATATTTGTTTAGTTTTACAACAGGCTACATGAAAGCTCTAGTGAAGTCTGTACAAACTGCAATTCCAGACAATGCCTTGTGTCTATTGTTCTTGTGCTATACACTGAAATGGAAGTGCAATAATTATGTTCCAATGGATTTAATGTATAATGCTATGGTAAAAATGAGTAAGGGAACAATTGTCAGGACTAGTGTGGCTGTGACCCTTCTGTATTTCTATGTTTGCTGCTGGAAATAAGTCGTTTTTAAATGAGGTGAAACTTTGAGGTAGGCAAGACAAATCCGGCTCCTGAAAGGGAAACTGTAGTCTGGAAAAGATGAGAACCACTGGATGATAGGGTTTGTTGCAATCTGAAGCAGTGTCTAGTCATGGGAAACAGCAATAGAGATGCAGTAAGGATGGACCAGGCTCAGCTACATTACAGAGGGTTAGCAATTCCAAAGGGATCCGTGAGAACTGCTCCCTGAACTAGAAAGAGACTCCAGATCTTCTCACTCTTCTCTAAGAGCTACCCAGGGGTCCTGACTCCCTGCTTTAACCTCTAGACCCCACTCTCCTCCGAGGAGTGGAGCAAGGACCCAGGAGTCCTGGTGCCCAGTCTTCCTGCTTTAACCACTAGACCCCACACCCCTCCTAGAGCTGTCACCCAGGAATCCTGTCACTTGGCTGGGTATAGCATAAGGAAATGGGGAGCACCAGCACTTTGGGATTTGTGGATAAAAGTTGCCATGGACAAATCAACTGTACAGACCTGTCGGGCCCCTTGTTCCCTGGCCATGGACTGTTTCTTTCAGCATATTCTTGTGTCTTACTCCAAGAAATGGAGGATTATTTACTCTATTATTTCTTTTGCAATCGCATTCAGAGGTGAGCAGAGTTAGGGCCGCTTGTGCTGGGTGCTGCACAAACACAGGCTGAAAGATAGGCCCTGTCCCAAGGAAGTCACAGTCTAAGCAGAGGCTGGAGGGGAAACTGAGGCACACTGAGGGCAAGTGACTTGCCTGTGGCCATTAGCAGAATCAGGACTAAAACCCAAGTGTCCTTACTGCAGTGTCCTCCCCACCCTCAAAGACCGGCCTGCCAAGCACTCCTGTTGTTCTCCCGCCTTGGAGAGGATGTTAGGACTTGGGAGAGGAGAGGAGCCCCTTGGTCCTACCTCGGGCAGCTGTCCTTCCACCCAGGACAGGGCAACTCCCTATCACAGCTCCTGGGCTTCTGGCCCTTCCTTCCAGGAGAGGATGCACAAACCAGATCCAGATTCCTGCAGGGGAGCAAAGGGAGCCTTCCCTTGGGGCAAAGATTTCCCAGCTGGATCAGTTGCACAGTCAGGTGATCCCGCTCCTGATACGCAGTCTGCATGTCCCCCCGTTGGTGCATTTCCTCTCAGAGCTCCTAGCTGCAGCTCCTCCTGTCCATGGCCCTCCCTAATGCCTCGCCCATCTCTGTGTTTACAGCCCTCACATATTTGCAGCCTGCTCTCATGTCTCCCAAGGGCCAGTCTCTTAGCTAAATTAGATAGATTGAGCTCTTGATCTTTGACCCGAATCCTCCCTTAACTGTTTTCCTGCACAGCCTCTTTAAGCTCCCTCCAGCTTGTCAGTATCCCTGGCACTGAGTTGCCCAAAGAGAGGGCAGTTTCCCAGGCATGGTCATAGCAGAACTGTGCTGCATGGGACCCAGCCCCACTCTTCTACACCAGACCTTTGTGCTTGGGGGTGCCTGGAATGAAAGGCAACCATCCAGGCACCAGCTGTAAAAGAGAGGCCTTTCGTCTGCTGCCTGCTCAGTGCCTGGCACAGGGGGGCACAGCCAGTGGTTGGCTGGAGCCCATAGGTGCTTCTGCTATACGCATATTGCTTCTTGAGGTCCCTTTGCCCCCTGCACGTGACCTTCGGTAAGTCACTTCCCCTCTTTTTCCCACCGCCTCGCCATTGCTGACTGGGACTGTGACTTTGGGCAGTCCGAGACTGTCTCTCTCTCCTCAGCTGTGCAGCACCTGGCCCATGGAGTTCAGGGGCTACAATCATACCAATGCTCCGTCTGGACCACCTTGCAGACCCATACAAAGCCATGGGGGCATCCCATGCATGGCCTTCCTTTGATTCTACCCAGGCAAACCTCACCTGCCTTTGTACAGAGCAGAGCACCATCGCTTGTGAGACTGTCTAGAACTGATCAGTCTCTCAGGGCCTTGCCCAGCATGCTGGCCTGCCGCTGGCTGATGAAGGAGCTGTTTTGAAGCTATGCCTTCTCTCATTCCAGCCTGCAGGCAGGGCACATTCCACAGAGGGAGGTTTATCTGTGAGGGGATCTGACCTGAGAGCAGATTCTCCACCCTGGAAGCGCCAGGGTTTAGTTTGTGTGTGCTCGCTTGGGGCTGCACAGTGGGACTCAGGCTGCAGTGTTTGCCCTGCATGGCAGAGAGGGTATGTTATTTCGAATTCACTTTCCTAGAGTCTACACAGCCAAACTGCTATTTTGAAATACATTTGAAACAGCTGAGTGCTTATTTCGAATTTGGTAAGCCTCATTCCACAAGGACTAGCGCCCAATTTGAAATAGCTAAATCGAAATAAGCATTGTGTAGACGCTTATTTCAAAATAGGGGCCCTCCAGCCCTTCCCAGGGTGCCCTGGTGGCCACTCTGGGCACAACCAGGAAAACTCTTCTGCTCCCCCACCCAGCCCGAGAGTCCTTCAAGGGGTAGACTCTGGCCACAGTGCCTGTGCCAGCTGCAAGCCTGCCAGCCCAGAGCCAGCAGTCCGTGCACCTGGCCCAGCATGAGCCAGCAACCCAGTGGCACCCAGCCCTCCACCGCTCCCCAGGAGCAGGCTGGCAGCTCCCAGGAGCCTGCCAGGGGCTGCAAAAGGTGGGCGCCTTCCTGGTCTAGTGCAGAGATCGTGGACCTCATTGAGATTTGGGGGGAGGCCTCCAATGTCCACAATCTCTGCACTAGACACAGGAACGCGGCTGTCTACAGGCGGATGGCTGACAGCCTGGCCACCAAAGGCCACATGCACACCCAAGAGCAGGTGCGCATGAAAATAAAAGAACTGAGGCAGGCCTATGCCAGGACCTCAGGGGGCAGCTCCCAATCAGGGGCTGACCCAGACCCCTGCCCCTATTAGGATGCCCTGGACCACATCCTGGGGGGTCAGGTGGTCATCGACCCTGGGGCAGAGGGCCCTGCCCATGACACCTAGGAGGAGGAGGAGGAGGACGGCCTGGAGAGAGCGTGCCCCGCACCTAGGACCTCCGAGCCATCCCAGCAAGCCTGTCGCCGGTGTCATCCGAGGCTGGGGAGGC